GCATGAGGTTGCTCTGAGATGTGTTCTAGGTCATTGTGAGCTCTCATTTAAGTTGTAACTGAGTCCACATTTGTCCTAGTGCAGGATTTTGTCTTCAGTATGTTCAATTACTTTGGACTGAGCTGAGGACTCCATCCAGGTAGCTTTGCAGTCTAGAGAGCAAAAACTGAGCAGCTTCATTGAGCGGTGTCCCTCTGTGTGCATGTGTATGTGTTTACACATGCGTGTTGTCTTTCTTTCCAGTTCCTTCTCTCCCTCCTCTTTTTCCATTTGGTTCTGCTTTGCATTTTATTTGCAATGTGTTGTTCCTGTTGTGAGTATTGCTCATGCATGTTGAGTTAAGGTTCCCTAAGGAGTCTGTCTGGCATTGAAAAATTAAAATTAACTTTTTTGTTTTTCACACTCTCAAAGCCCTTTATTATAAGCTAGGGTTTTTGCTCCAGGGTAGTAGGATGTCGGGAAGAGCTGAAATATGGCACTGCTGAGAATCAATAAGTATAAAAACTGCTCTATCCTCAACTGCGTGCTGATTACCCCGCCCCCAAAGGCAAATGTGTTTGTAGTTTAGGTCACAAGTGAAACAAGCATGTTGAATCTCATTCTAACATGTCACTCTTCTGGACTTACTTCTCCACCTCAGTGCTTTCCTCTAGATGTGTGAATTGTATCCTCTTGAGAGCTGGGCAAAACATGTCTGGAAACAGCAGCTCACTCCCTTCCCCTCCCCTAGAAAATAAGGGAATTGTCTTGAAATACCAAACTGGTTCATTTCAAAGTCTTTCGGTCTGGTGGATGGCAACAAGAGGACTTTGGTGCTACTCAGAGCGAGGAAGGTGGTAGCTCATCTTAAATCTACAAATCAGACTTACTGTACATGAGGGACGTGAGTTTATCCTCTCTGCTTGCTGCAGAGATCTGAGATGTCTTGCAATTCCCTGGCACGTGCTTTCTTTTCTCTAAGAGTCTCTACAACCACTGGCTTAACCACGTTTAAATGTTTCACACACAAAATTGAAGCATCAACTCTGATTCTGGTTATGAGGTGATCTTAATTGGTTAAGGAAAACAGAAGCCTTTCTGCTCTTGAATTCCTTTGTGTGTCCTGAGGATATGGTAATGGGTAAGTGTTCTGCCAGTCTGGAGGTGAGCAGCCTTCAGGGTTTGTTGGATTCAAGAGAGGAATGAAGTGAGGAAGCCTCATCAGGTGAGGACCGTGCTGTATGTAACCAAAGGCTCTGTCTTTTGTAGCCTCCAATCCTCTCCTACTGTTTCCAAAACTTGCTTTCTGTACTCAGTTATCATTACACTTTGGCCAGGAGAAGAGAGATCTCATTTTTGCTGCAGAGCACCCAGCTCTGCGGCACCTAGGCCTTAATGTCAAGGGAGGAAAACTATGGGAGCTACTGCCTTCCCTTCCCCTGCGTCCAGTTCTGCCTACCCTAAACTGTGTCCTAATTCCGGCTGATGGCTTGGTACGGCCACTCGCCCTTTCTTTCACAGGACACAATATACACCCTTGTAAAACCTCTTGATAGCTTGGTGGCACAAAAATATGTGATATAAATCCAAAGGGCAATCTTTAATGTAAGGCTATAAAATGTAAGCTGGGCCCATCCCACTTTGCCTCTTACCTATTCCACAGCATCCGGGAATATGGGATATGTGTCCCTTCTGAAAAAGAGTCCTATTCGAGATATTTAGTCTTGGGGAAGATGAAGCTCTGCCTCCCCCTGGGGAAACAAATTCAGCTAACCACGTAGGGCAGGGTGGGGGTAATGTTGGTGTGTTGCATGATAACTGCTTGACAGTGCTTCCTTGTTGTTTCACCCATTAAACGTGAGCATACATGTGCCCAAGGAAGGGTCCGGCTGCTGCAGCTCCAAAGCCTTGTGCTCTGCCTTGAGCTTGTGTAACAACAGGGAATGCCTCTTCCTCTGACAGCTGGGTAAGCTCGTGCTCTAAGGTAGAGCTGTGGCAACTGCTTTGCTGCTGCGGATGTGAGCGTATCGCCTGATTTTCCGCTGGGCAGCTCTTGGGCTGGAAAAAGAATCTAAAACGCCGCATCACTTGTTCTTCTCTTTGCCGTAAAGTCACTCGTGCATAGCTGAAGCAAACTTCTTTGGTCTGGATTTTGTTTCACTTTGTAGCTACAGGAAGAGTCACAAACGACTCAGGTTACTTACGGTAAAAGTGAGTAAGTTTTCCTGGTACACATTTGGGTCTATTCTTGTCATGTGCGATTGCGATCAGAGCAGGAGGTGCTGGAGCCCCCTCTGTCCGCGCCTGACCCTTCCAGTTGGAGCAGAACTGTTTGCGGCACTTCCAAGCGACGTGTTTCGCACCAGGCAGTGAGTTCAATGAGTCTCTGAAATTTGCTAGATGTGAACAGATCATACGTGGGGCCGGGGTATGGGTTTTTTCTGTCTCTTTGTGCTGTTGCTGGTGGAATGCGTTTCCCAAGGCCCCATCTGCAGGCCTGTTTATTTTCCCTCCTCTAAACCTTTTCTTTGTAGGGCAAGATGGAGAACAATGGGGAGCAACGGTCTGAAACTGAGCAAAGCAGGGGAAAAACTAGGCTAGACGTCAGTAGCGGTTTCATAACCGATGGAAACGAGTATGGGAGCATTTGCCCCTGGGAAGAGGCTGAATCTTTTTTCATCAGATTCAAATGAGGCAATGCAAAGGAGGAGGAAGATTCTATTAAAAATAGAGGCGGGGGGGAGGGAAAGGGATTTGCTGGCATGACTTGGATGGAGGAACGCTCACAGTCTGTCCTGCCTGTTAACTCAGTACAGATTGAAGACCTGATTATAGGGTATTTCCTGTTAGAGAGGCTTCAGTGTATCGTCTTCCTTACTCACATGTACAAGGTCACCTGATTTATTAGAACCTCAGGCGCTGCCTAACCTCCTGGGGAGGGATGTCTGGAAAGAGCAGATAGCTGTGAAGGGGCTGGTGTGAGCATTTAAGCCGAGTATTAGTTGACATTTGCAGTGTAGAAAACAAGAGCTTTGCCAAACCCAGCCTAAATGTTGGCCATGGCCGGAGACTTGCACCTGGTCAAGTTACAGTGCAAAAATTTGTACAGTGCTACTGTTAAGCAGTTGAGCCCCGATAGCTCTATTTAAGGCTTGTAATTATGAAGCAACTGGAATAACATGTTGGGTATGGTGGTAACTGTGATCCCCTCCGGCACTTGAATTTAGACTTGGGTTTTGTTCAGGTTTTATGCCAGGACCTCAGCTGATTGCAAAGGGGCAAAGCAGGACTGTGATAGCGGTTCTGACCACCGCTGGGAGCAGAGCTCCACCTGACCTTGAGATCGTCCTTAGATCTACACCAGCAGATTTCTAATGTGTCATCTTCCTCCTCAGCTGTACCTCACCCACATTTATTTCCCCCTCTGGTCTAAGTGGGTGATAGAATAGAATGGGAGTTGCTCTTGGGTACCCTCCAGCAAGCAGAATGCTCCTCTGTTGACATAGCTTTATAAATGGATTTATAAATGCTATGTAAAGGCCACCTCTAGTGAAGAGACCCGACTTCTCTAGTGGTACTTGCTGAGCTCATCCTGGGATGTGTTGGCACTAGATCCATTTGGGACCCTTGCCTGCTTCTCTTGTGAAATGGTCACCCCTGTACCTCTTTGCCTTAGCTCTGAGGAGCACACCCTGACCCAACAGAAGTGTCTTCATGAACCATACACTTGGTGTTTTCCTGTTCCAGTCACTCCAGGGATAATAAATAGCAATGGTAATAAATAAAATCACATGCTATAGACTGAAGATTACGTATGACTCATTTTCCAATGGCAGTAGACATGTTTTAGCACATGAAGTACTTTCTCTGTGTATGGTTTAGTTTATTCTCCAATACCTTTCTAGTGTACCCTCTCTGTGGCAGGGATCCAGAGTGCTTGGGCACCGGAGGGAGGAAAAGTAGCCTTCTGAAGATGTGGGTATATGCTGATGCAGCTATAGGCTGCAAAACTTGTTGAGCAA